TTGGTTTTTCCTATATCTATTTTACATTGTTCACTAAAGGTTCAAGTAATATGTGACATAAATATGTAGATGATATGATTGTATATACACACAATTTATCATAACAGTTTTGTCTTAGTGAACTTTAAAAATGAGTGATAATATTTTCATGTCATCATTATAACTTAAATATAAAATTCTATTTGTAAAAAAAGTAAATCATATATAATAATGATAATTGAGTACCTCTAATCTCCTTTGGTTTCTTTTTAAATTCAGTGAAGGTAAAGATGACCACTCTTACTATGGAAACTAAAGGGAATTTAAAAATAAAAATAATTTAAGCCTATGGATTACATTATGTACAGGAAAATTTTATAGAAAGCAAATCAGAATTTTTAACAGTCAGTATTTTGGGGTTGTAAATGCAGTCATGTCCCATGGATTCTAGTTTTATTTCTAACCCTTAGCTTTATCTGCCATGGCTATAGTTTATTTCTTTTAATTATAGAACTAAGATGAACAAAACTAGTGGAAATTATATATTATACAAACCTAAATGAAATTTTTGTCCAAGGCAAGCACAACACTGAATATTTTTTAATTCCATGCAACAAAGCCTGTTATAGACATCTTTAGGCTATCAGAGTTTAAGTTATAGACATTTTAGTTTTAAAAATAAATTTTATATAAACCAAAGATCAAACCAGATTGCTTGTGTGAAAATTTTCTTACCTCCTCTGTTAACTTCTTTTGCAGGATGCTAAATTCTTGTTCTAACTGGACATTTTGGTGATTTGGCTAAGAAAGCAAAAGGGGTGGTTCAGTTCAGATTAAAAATGATCGTCTGGCAAACTGAAATGGTTCCTGTAGAAAAAGAAGAAGTTTATCAGTAGTTGATTCCGGAAGTGTAGTAAGCCACAAAATGACTAAGAAAAGTACCAGTTTAACAGAACTTACTTTAAAACACAATTTGGAACTGTATGATTTGAGTNTATATATATATATATATATATATATATATTCCAGCGGTAGAAACAAACAAGTACCAAATAATAATTTGATGAGTTTTCTCATAAAGGTATGCAGGAGATACACAGAGGAACTAGTCTAGCCTGGAAGGGCTTTAGGTAAGTTTTCTCAGAGAAGCAAAACTTGAACTGAATCTTGAAAGGTTTATAAGAATTAATTAAGCAAATAAAATATTCCAGCCAGGGGAACGACGTCCTGGCATGGGCAAAGAAGGCAGGTATAAGCTTGGCTGTCAGGGCTTTTTGTGGGATGCGGTCGGTGCTAAAGCTTGAAGACTTAGTTGTCAGTTCTACTTCTCCCACCTAACTCCCTCTCTAACCGTGAGAACTAGTCACTGAATCTCTCCTGCTCTCAGCTGCCTTATCTCTAAAATGAAGAGTTATACTGAGACGCTTTTCAGCTCTACGTGTGTATGTGCTTGTTTTGTACCTTATAAAACACAGTGGTAACCATTCAGTTATTTCTGAACATTAGCGAAAGGAAAACCTCAGGGTGTCAGATCCTGGTGTGTATGATTAGAAGCCAGCTTTCCTGCGATTCGCAGGCCAGGCTGAGAGAGATTTGATGTTCTGTGCAAAGTACAATAAAAGAAGAGGAGCTCCCTCAACTTTTGTAAGTAAATAGCTTTTCAGCATATTTGAGTAGTTTTCATTGCTTACTCTTCTACCACTTGGTACACAGTGCTAATAAATTACCTTATTTTAGTAGGAAAAAAGACGTACATTTTTTTTCAGCCTCTTTTTATTTTCTCTCTAATATTTCAAGCCTAAATTTAAAAATATGTCTTCTTTAAACTCTCCTGCGTACTATTGATGACTTAATCTGAAAAGCACATATGATCAGGTTATTTCTCCCTTGCTTGATGGTTCCCCATTGCTATGAAGATAAAAATTCGGAACTGACTTTTCTTCCTTCTGGCTTGAGTTTACCAGTACTGACTCATATCTCTTTCTTTCTTTTTTTATTTTTTTCAGTTACAGTTGACATTTAATTTTATTTTATATTAACTTCAGGTGTACAGCATAGTGGTTAGACATTTATATAATTTATGCAGTGGTCCCCCTGACTAGTCTAGTACCCACCTGGCACTATACATAGCTGTTGCAACATTATTGACTATGTTACCTATGCTGTACTTTCTGACTCAGATCTCTTGACTGAAACTTATTCAGCCAAATGCACCTCTTCCCCATTTTAAATACTTTGTAAACACACTTTTTTCCCTCTAAAGACAGTTTTAATTATGCTGGTTTTCACCCACCTAGAGTGTGTTCTTTTTTTCCAACCCAGCCTTTCCCCCCGCCTTCTTGACTGCCTATGTGAACCTGTCCTCATCTGTCAGACCTCAGCTTAAATTCCCCTTCAGAAACCAAGTGCTTTGCAGCCCAACTGACCACAGCCCAAAGAGACCAGCCATTCCCTGAATCCCCCTAGTTCTTGTTGCTTCTGTGGTTCCTTAATATGGACCTCACATTTCGATTCTCTTAAATAATTGCGTTTTTTAAATTACTTTTCACATTATCTTTTTATCCCTACTCCCTCAAGATTATAAAGAACCTTGAAGAAGGCAAAAAGAGACAAAGAAAAATACTTATCTAGAACTTACTATGTGCTGTACTATCCCAGATGTTTTACATACTTTATTTCATTTAACCTCTAACTGTCTCTATAAGGAAGATGGAAATCTTTCATCTTTCAGGATGTAAATCCTTGATTTACAGAGAGAGAGACAAATTCACATGTGTTAAGTAATGTTATAGCACTGTTAGCGACAGACTGGGAATTTGTATCCAGGATCATCTGGTTTCAAAGCATATGTTCTTCCTGCCACCCTGAGCTGCCTCATGCTTTTATATTTTTATTCTTTTAAGGCAGCATACCATATGTGTCAGGAGCCCAGTAAACATTTAACCTGTATTAGGCTTTTTGGTTCCTTTCCATTTCACTTTTTCACTATTTATTAATACTGTAAGTTACCAAATTCTGCATTTTATCAATTTTGCAAAAGGCTTAATAGGGAAAAAATTGAAAACATTGACATAAGTATGGGGATTTTAATAATCTCTAGGTGGTTATCATCCATGCAGTCTCTATCTGCTATTCTTAAAGATGTCCACCCCACCTCTCCCAAGGAAAGGCCTCACCACTGGAGTTTCACTTTAGTTTTTTAAAAATGCCATCTAAAGCAACAGAAAATATAGGCCATGAATTGTCTTCACCCAAAAATGTTCCCTCTTCTGTGACTTTGCTTAAATTAAAAAAAAAAAAACAAAAACAAAAAAACCCACGTGGTTCCTCTTTTCAATTAGCTAAAAATGGCATTTGAGAAGGAAAGAACCCAAACAGGAACATAATTATAAGTCCAGTTTAGTTTGTAAGATCAATTTTGATAGGTTCATAGCCTTTTTTGTCAATAGGAAAGTCATAGGACCTTCAGGGTATGAGATTTTTCACTTACTATTTAAGCTTTATGGTAGTTTTAAAACTAAATTTATTTTTTACCTATCCTACCCCTTTGTCACTTTTCAATTAGATGTCTACCCTCCTGGGGTCTGCTGCATCCGAATGCTAGAATCTGTACTAGAGTTCTATAGCAATCCAGAATAGTCCAGAAAAGATGGAGCAGGATTTCTAAAAAGAATAAATACAGGGTATAATAGTGAAGAAACTGACTTTTTCTAGCTCAGAGACAGTGAGGCCAGT